GGGGGGACTAGACTGTAGCAAGCTGCGTGTGTGTGTGCGTGCGTGTCTGACGTCGTTTGACAATGACCCCCTCAACTGCGTTGCCTTTGACTTTCACCGATGCTGCCTGAGAAGAGTGTTAAGGTAACAGTGTGTACTTCATCACGCGTTGACTTTGCCATGTTCTGCTCGTCAGCGAGAGGCAGCCATAGCCAGCCATAGCCAGTCATCAGCCAGTCAGCCACCCAATCACCGTTCTCGAAATGGATAAGCCTGATTGACAAATTTTAATGCAATGAGATTGCAATCCACGGACATGTAGCCAATCGAAGAATGGATAAGCTGAATCAACAAACGTAATTCACCACGGAAATATAGTCAATCCGGAAATGGATAAGGCAGATCCGCAATCGGCGGGAAAGCTTGTTTTATCCATTTGTCGTTTTCTGGGCACATGCCTTAATATGCACTATCACTTTCTCCAACAACGCTGTGAGTTCATACTCACACTGGGACTTTTTGACTGATCTCCGGACGCAATTACGGTCAGATACATCCAGGAAAGGCCGTAATTGCAGCCAGATACGCACAGGAAAGTGCTCGTCTAAGTGCGCTCTGAATTATATTCCAATTAGTAGTGCCATCGCTTTCCCGCGCAAACCTTTATCTCCGTTTCATCTTTTTGCGGTTTTGAACCTTATCCAGTTGTTGTCTTATCCATATCCACCGCCAACCTGCGCATTTGCCTTTTTTTTTTTTTTTACTCATTTGCCTTTTCTACGACATCCCTCGCGAACAACGGACTCGAAGAAAAGCGGCCTCGCTCTACTACTCTCCACATTTACAAAAGACAGAAAATATGGCGGTGTATAGTTCTATGTTCTAGCGGAAGATTCATTCTCATGTTTTGCACTGGGAGAGTTGCGCAGCGAGGCCCGAGGTTACGCCCTACCTGCAAATCTTTCTATCATCAGCCTCTGCGCTCATGCTTTCCTAATTTGGGTGGTGGTCGGGGTGGGGGAGGGGAACAAATTGGGCTGAGGGCTAATCCAGTCAACGACAGACTCCCACAGCCGAAAGTGCAGCAGAAAGTCCACAGATGGATAAGACCGTGACGGCCTTATTTTATTTTATTTTTTAACGAATCTATAGTATTTTCTGAAGAAGAAGAAGAAGAAACATCCGATGGAGGAGCTCCTGCTGCCTTATGGGCCTATGGAGTTGAAGATGTTGGCCAAAATTTTGAATGAATCTGAGTTGCACCACTCGCCATCCGCCAAAATTGTGAATGAATCTGAGCAGCAAAGCTATTCCCATGCATTAAAGATGTTGGCTGATGGCCAGTAGTGCAACTAAGGCCTATGTTCTGGATTGTGGATTGAAAAGGAAAAAAAAGAAAAAAGAAAAGAGGATAAGTCCGTCTCGACTCATCAGGAGGCTGAACCCTCAACAGTCTGCAGAATCCCCTAATATATATATATATAAACTCCGACGAAACAGTTTGTCACAGCCCCTCGTTTGTTGTCCTCTTCTCCCTCTCTGCCTACGGCTTACCGGGCAGTTCTATTTGACGATATATATATCGTCAAATAGAACTGCCCGGTAAACCGTAGGCAGAGAGGGAGAAGATATATATATATATATATATATATATATACTGCATAGCACGCCGAACATGTTGTTCGTCCCCCCATCGGATGCTCGGCCGAGTGGGAACCGAACATGTTTGGCCGAGCGCAAATTAGGGGGCTGCCGAACGCGTCCTCGTGTGTGTCTGGTGTGTGGGGTGTGTGTGGTGAGTGTGTGTGTGTGTGGTGAGTGTGTGTGTGTGTGTGTGTATGTTCAGGTTCAGGAGTGATGAGCAATGCCCCCGGGGGCCCCCAACCTCTCGATATATTGTCTACCGCGTGGACCCGGAGAACGCAGCCCTAAGGTAGTCAAATCAATGAGACAAAGAGCTCGCACAAGAGAGAGAGAGAGAGAGAGAGAGAGAGAGAGAGAGAGAGAGAGAGAGAGAGGCTGAATGGCAAAATTGAAATATGGGTCAAATTGCGGCCGCGATCTATTTCGCATTTGGAAGGATTTTTTTAAATTTATTTAGCGTTTTTCCTGGAAAAATCACAACAAAATCTACGAATACTACAATTTTCAGGTTTTCTCACACATTCTTCTGAAAGTGAAAACTTATCAAATTGGGAATACTTTTTAAGTTGGCCCACACATGGCTGAGTGGCAAAAATGGAAAATGTGTTGAATCGGCACGACGATTATTTTTCGGTCTAAATGATTTTTGTTTAATGTTTTAATATTTCTCCTGGAAAGAACACGACCTCATCTATGGATTCCCAAAATTTCAGATTTTTCTGCGGCTTCCTCCGAGCACAGAAAATCGCCAAAAGTGGCTCTTGCAAAACGCCTGTTTCGTTGCGCCTGATCTCCCTGTTTTGAGAAGTCGGGCCTCAACCCCTGGGCCTGAGGGCCCTTTTGCAGTTCACATGCCCTCACTTTGTTTTGGGGTGCGCTTCCACCAGTGGACCCGTCCAACGCCCCCCACTTCTTTTTGGGGTCCACTTCCACCCGAGGACCGATCCTTCCTTTTTCCAAAAGTCTCGGTTCTATCGGAGCTAGTTGTAAGTAGTCCGCAATTTTGGCAAGGACCGGTTCCCCAAATTCTTTTGCCCCCTAAGAACCCACTTTGCGTCCTGGTCGCCCGCCGCCAAAAATGCGACACCTTGACACAGACGCTGAACCCCAGTAGACAGCAGCCTTAGAGCTGCGAATAAAAAAATAAAAAAAAATTAAAAATGTTCAGGCTCGGTCGATTCTGGGCCACGTTCGGGCTTGGTACCGAGCGTTCGGGTTCGGTCACCGAGCCCGAACGCGGTGCTACGCACTATATATACATATATATACAGGGTCACCAGCCCATACGTACGGAGGTCCCCGGGCCGACCTCCGTACGTACGGCACGTACAGGCGTTTGGGGCCGCGTTTGGGGCCCCGTTTGGGGTCTGAACCCGAAGGCGTTCGGCCCCCACCAAAATTATTTCGGGCCCTAAAAATAAATGTGCCAAAAACTATTTCAGGGCCTAACAATAAATTTTCTTTTTCTAAATATTTTTTCGTGAGTTCTCTATGACGTGAGGTACATGCCTATAAATTTTGATGTAATTTTGTTAAGCCAAAACAAAATTAAAAATTGCCAAAGATGGCGGTGTGGAAACGTGCTCGCCCACTCACTACTTTGTTTTTTTTTCCTTTTTACTTTTTGTTGTCAATTTATTTCGGGGCTTAAAACTATTTATTATTTTTTGAAACTTTTTTAATGAATTTTGTATTATTCGAGGTACACATCTGAAAATTTTCATGGCATTTGGCTATGCCAAAAAAAAAATGAAAAATAGCCAGAGATGGCGGTGTTAAAAATGTGCTCGCGCGCTCACTAATTTTAATTCTCATTTGATTTTTTCTTAATTTTATTATTCGTATTATTTTTCGTATTTTGTTTTTATTTCACAGTTGGTAAGGAATTTGGATGTAATGCTCAGGCAAATATTGCTTATTTTAGTTTTCTTCATAACATATTAAATTTTGTTTTTCAGATGTTTTGTTTTTTTCCAAGTTCGGCCCGAACAACCGAACGCATCCCCAAGGGGTCCCGCACGTTCATGCATTCAGGTTCGGGCGTTCGACCCGTCCCGAACGCCGGTTACCCTGTGTATATATATATATATATATA